TCCACCTTCATGAGAAGGGCGTATTTGAAGGCAGTACAAAGAATGAAAGTGCATCCCGCAAAGAAGACTGCCACATGTGCGCACGCGCTGCAAAGGCACCTCCTCTGCCTACTCGCTCCTTCTCCCTTAATACCTCGCTGAGAATGACACTGTTGTTAGGGACCCTGTCGCAAAAACGACAACCGTGAAGGAAAAGCCCTGGGCAAATGAAGTTGTTCTTTAGGTTGTAGGAGTTACGAAATGTGTTTACTACAATGCAGCTTCTGTCAACTGGTCATGATCATATAACACCTTCAATCGATTCTGCAACTTCGAGTGAGGTCGGATGCATGGCCTATACCCAGACAAAATTCGATGATGACGATTGCCCCTTTTCCTATTGCTTATGTTGGGAGGATGTTTTCTAGACCCATTTCAAGCGTTGCCAACAATTACACTTGCAATGGTGAAGAAGGGAGCGGATTTTCAGGTGGCCGGATCCGTCCTCGATACATACTCGACGCAGATATCTTCTCAACTAGGAAATGTAGAAGAAAGCTAAGAAGACCATCAGAAAGCGCAAACCTTCCGCTTTCCAAAACTATCTTCCTTTTTCAGGATCTTACGAATTAGAGAGATATTGCTTTGAAGTGGCAAAAACTCGCATGAAAATTTCAGCATCCTCGACGTTTACTCGACGAAATTTGAGAGACCCTATCTTTCTGCATGGAAGGCTTTCAGAGCAATTTCAATACTTCTTGGAAACGCGAAATCCAGCTCTATCTAACCCTACCTCAAACTGCTTCAAAGGTTATGAAATGGAGGAATGCAACCTTTTCATCGAGGGTGTAGATTTCGACGGTTTTTTTCGGGATTTCAGCAAATCTGACCCAGTGACAATCGCGCCGCAGCTGCCGTTGAATCGGCCTTTGATACACTCGGCTGTTTTGATATACTCAAGCAAGAATCAAGATTGAATCGCAACCCCGTGCCTTCAGGATTTCTGTGCATTTCTGAACGAACCTGACTTTGAGGTCACACAAAGTTAATGCCTCTTTCCTCGAGTCGATATTTCAGTAAATACACAAAAGTGTGCAGCGATGAAAGACAGTGCATAGATGACAAGATGGTGTCTCCATAACATTATTTTGCAGGACTTTTTTCTTTGA